TTAACACTCCACTGTCAGTATTAGACAGATCAACCAGACAGAAAATTAACAAGGATATCCAGTGCTTGAACTCAGTCCTGGAACAAGCAAACCTGATAGACATTTACAGAACTTTCCACCTCAAATCCACAGAATATACACTCTTCTCAGCACCACATCACACCTACTCTAAAATTGACCACATAATTGGAGGTAAAGCACTCCTCAGCAAATGCAAAACAACTGAAATCATAACAAACAGTCTCTCAAAACATAGTGCAATTAAGTTAGAACTCAGAATTCAGAAACCAACTCAGAACCACAGAGTATCATGGAAACTGAACAACTGGCTCTTGAATGTTGATTGGATAAACAATAAAATGAAGGCAAAAATGAAGTTCTTCAAAACCAACGAGAATGAAGACACAACATAACAGAATCTCTGGGACACATTTAAAGCAGTCTCTAGAGGAAAATATACAGCAATAAGTGCCCACATGAGAAGAGTGAAGAGATCCAAAATTGACACCCTATCATCAAAATTGAAAGAGCTAGAGGAGCAAGATAAAAAAAACTCAAAACCTAGCAGAAGACCAGAAATAACTAAGATCAGAGCAGAACTGAAGGAGATAGAGACACGACAACCCTTCAAAAAAAATCAATAAATCCAAGAGCTGGTTTTTTGAAAAGATGAACAAAATAGACAGAACACTAGCCAGACTGATAAAAAAGAAAAGAGAGAACAACCAAATAGATGCAATAAAAAACGATAAAGGGGAAATCACCACAGATTCCACAGATATTCAGACCATCATCAGAGAATACTGCAAACAACTCTATGCACATAAACTACTAAACCTGGGAGAAATGGATAAATTCCTGGACATCTGTGTCCTCCCAAGCCTAAACCAGGAGGAAGCCAAAACTATGAATAGACCAATAACAAGGTCTGAAGTTGAGGCAGCAGTTAAGAGCCTACCACACAAAAAAAGCCCAGATCCAGATGGGTTCACAGCTGAATTCTACCAGACACACAAAGAGGAGCTGGTACCATTCCTTCTGAAACTATTCCAAATAATCTGAAAAGAGGGAATCCTTCCCAAATCATTTTATGAGACCAACATCATCCTGATACCAAAACCCAGCAGAAACTCTACAAGAAAAGAAAACTTCAGGCTAATATCCATGATGAACATAGATGCAAAAATCTTCAATAAAATAATGGCAAACCAATTGCAACAGCACATCAAACAACTTATCCATCATGATCAAGTAGGATTCATCCCGGAGATGCAAGGCTGGTTCAACATACACAAGTCTATAAATGTAATTCACCACATAAACAGAACCAAAAACAAAAACCACATGATTATCTCAATTGACACGGAGAAGGCATTCGACAAAATTCAACAGCCCTTTATGCTAAAAACCCTCAATAAACTCGGTATTGATAGAATGTATCTCAAAGTAATAAAGCCTATTTACGACAAACCAACAGCCAATATCATACTGAATGGACAAAAACTGGAAGCATTCCCTTTGAAATCTGGCACTAGACAAGGATGCCCTCTCTCACCTCTCCTATTCAATATAGTACTGGAAGTTCTAGCCTGAGCAAGCAGGCAAGAAAAAGAAATAAAGGGTATTCAAATAGGAAAGGAGGAAGCCAAATTGTCTCTATTTGCAAATGACATAATAGTATATCTAGAAGACCCCATCCTCTCAGCCCAAAAACTCCTGAAACTGATAAGCAACTTCAGCAAAGTCTCAGAATATAAAATCAATGTGCAAAAATTACAAGCATTCCTATACACCAATAACAGACTTAAAGAGAGCCAAATCAAGAACGAACTGCCATTCACAATTGCTACAAAAACAATAAAATACCTAGGAATACAATTTACAAAGACTGTAAGGGAGCTCTTCAAGGAAAACTACAAACCACTGCTCAATGAAATAAGAGAGGACACAAACAGATGGAGAAACATTCCATGTTCATGGTTAGGAAGAATTAATATCGTGAAAATGGCTATACTGCCCAAAGAATTTACAGAATCAACACTATCCCCATCAAGTTACCATTGACTTTCTTCACAGAACTGGAAAAAACCACCATGAACCTCATATGGAACCAAAAGAGAGCCCACATAGCCAAGTCAATTCTAAGCAAAAAGAACACAGCAGGAGGCATCACACTGCTGGTCTTCAAACTATACTACAAGGCTACAGTAAACAGCATGGTACTGGTACCAAAACAGAGATATAGACCAATGGAACAGAACAGAGGCATCGGAGGCAACACAACATATCTACAGCCATACAATCTTTGATAAAACTGAAAAAAACAAGCAATGGGGAAAGGATTCCCTGTTTAATAAATGGTGTTGCTAAAACTGGCTAGCCATGTGCAGAAAGCAGAAACTGGACCCCTTCCTGACACCTTACACCAAAATTAACTCCAGATGGATTAAAGACTTAACCATAAGACCCAATACCATAAATACCCTAGAAGAAAATCTAGGCAAAACCATTCAGGACATAGGAGTAGGCAAGGACTTCATGAACAAAACACCAAAAGCATTGACAACAAAAGCCAAAATAGACAAATGGGACCTAATCAAACTCCACAGCTTCTGTACGGCAAAAGAAACAGTCACTAGAGTGAATCGGCAAGCGACAGAATGGGAAAACATTTTTGCAGTTTACCCATCTGACAAACGACTGATTTCCAGAATTTACAAAGAACTCAAACAGATTTACAGGAAAAAAACAAACAAGCCCATTCAAAAATGGGCAAAGGATATGAACAGACACTTTACAAAAGAAGACATACATGAGGCCAACAAACTTATAAAAAAAATGCTCATCATCACTGGTCATTAGAGAGATGCAAATCAAAACCACACTGAGATACCATCTCATGCCAGTTAGAATGGCGATCATTAAAAAATCTGGAGACAACAGATGCTGGAGAGGATGTGGAGAAAAAGGAACACTTTTACACTGTTGGTGGTAGTGTAAATTAGTCCAACCATTGTGGAAGACAGTGAGGCGATTCCTCAAGGCCTTAGAAATAGAAATTCCATTTGACTCAGCAATCCCATTACTGGATGTATATCCAAAGGACTATAAATCATTCTACTATAAGGACACATGCACACGAATGTTCATTGCAGCACTGTTTACAATAGCAAAGACCTGGAACCAACCCAAATGCCCATCGATGATAGACTGGACTGGGAAATGTGGCACATATACACCATGGAATATTATGCAGCAATAAAAAACAATGAGTTCATATCCTTTGTAGGGACATGGTCGAATCGGGAGAACATCATCCTCAGCAAACTGGCACAAGAACAGAAAATGAAATACCACATATTCTCACTCATGGGCAGGTGAGGAAAAATGAGAACACATGGACACAGGGAAGGGAGTACTACACATCAGGGTCTATTGGGGGGAATGAGGAGGGACAGCACGGGGTGGGAGCTGGGGAGGGATAGCCTGGGGAGAAATGCCAAATGTGGGTGAAGGGCAGCAAGGCAGCAAAACACACTGCCATGTGTGTACCTATGCAACTATTTTGCACGTTCTGCACATGTACCCCAAAACCTAAAATGCAATAAAAAGGAAAAAAAAAACTCTCAAAACTCAATGCATAACCAAAACCAATTTAAAAATGGCCAAAAGTTTGAAAAAAATATTTTACCCAATAAGATAGATGGCACATAGAACATAAAAATATGCTCAAGATTATTATTAAGTATAAATTAAAACCTTAATGTGATGCCACTATATATATTAGAATGGCAAAAAAGTGCTATTGGGGACATGAAGCAACTAGAACTTTTATACATTGATGGTTACATTAAATCTGAATTACAGTTTAGAAGCTTTTGGTAATATTAAGTATATACTTACCATGTGACTCCACAATTTCAAAATTGTGAAATAAAACTTATGTTTGTATGAGTCTTGTATGTGAATATTTACAGTAGCCTTATTTTTAATCCCTGAAAACCTGGAAATAATGCAATTTACTTTCAATAATGAACAGATAACCAATCTTTGGTATACTCAGACAATGAAATACTACTCATCAAGAAAAAACAACTTGTGCATGAGAAAAATAAATGGATATTTAATGTATTATGTTAAATAAAATATACTGAATTAAAATGACTACATGTTGCATAACTTCAATTGTTGATATTCTGGAAAAGGCAAAATTATAGAACAGAAAATTGTCTAATCAGCTCACCAGGAATGATTAAATGGGTTGGACGATGAGATCATTCCATGGAGATGAGAGGTAAATCTACCTCTTACAAAGTGAGAGAAAGTTGATTATAAAAGAAGAGGTTAGCACTCTATGATAACAGGTGCATTCCTCAGCTGTTTACTTTTCAGAGTACATAGGGGAATTAAAGACTAAAAACTGTTCACTTTAGAACTGTTTGATCTTGCACATCTCTTGGAACGTCTTTGTTGTACCCTCAAAGGTACCTCCAGCCTAGCTGATCACCACTACTCCAGTATGTTAGCCTGATTAAATGTTCCTATGCAAAGGCAAGTAACTCTAGCAATTACATTTTTATTTCTCCCGGGAGACTCTGAGTTCCTTAACAACAAATATAATATCTTATTTGTCTTATATCATCCAGGTGTTGTGCAAAGCCACAATAAACCTCACAAATATAAGAATTGAGTGAGTCAATCTATAATTCTAATGACTCAAATAAAGCTTAAAACTGTGGTTAGCAATTAAAGAAATATTTCATGTGTTTACTGAGGTCTAATGCCTCACAAAATCCCAAGGTACATCAAAAACTGTGTCAAAAAACCTCATGTACCCTACAAATATATACAACTACTATGTACCAACAAAATTTTTAAAATAATAAAACTTTGAAATGAATTAATCAAATTATGAAAAAATTAATCCGATTACATAGATGTTAATTTTGAAACTGTAGCTTTTTTCATGATTATAAACATTTCTTATAACAAAATATTACCTGATTTATTGATACATTTTTTTCCAAGCAGTTTGTTCACAGTACAAGAGAAATCATCAGTGCAGAGACACTCTTTAAATTGGAAATTGCTTTCCACTAAGTACCGGATACTCAGGTTACAGTATGATGAATTCCTCATCTTGCAGATGTCACCTGGATCTCACAATCAAAAACATAACATTATAGATATTAATCTCATTATAATTTTGGATTCTTCCTCCCCAAAGTACTTTTAACATATTAATCTGAATAATTAATGTAGTAAGATTATCTGGGGTTACTACAGGACATCCGTGTAAGTGACTTTTTAAGAAAAACATCTATTTTCATTGAATATTTTCCATAATGTACTTTCTATACTACAATTTTCTGCATTTTAAAATAGCTTTGTTCTTACTTAGAATGTCATTTCTTGCTTTTCAGTAAAAACAAGTCTATTCCTACCCGAGGTGACCGGAATGCTCTTTAATGTTTTGTCTGCTTATCTATTTTATCAGCTATTTTGTCTTAATCTGATATTTTATTTTCATTTCATTCTAAGACTATAGTAAGAGACGTGCAGGTGGTTTTAAATTTATCATTAAAAAATATATGATTCTGGCACATAGAACTAAGTATTATTGAAAAAGTGAATGAGTCTTTCATAATTAGCAATATTTGATTTTTCTGCATTAATTTAAAAATATATATTCCTCTACCTGAAAATCATCTTTTATTATTTTGACTAAAACTACTTCAGTTTATTTCAGTTATACCTTTGAGAATATGTATATTTCAGCTTTATATATAAAATAATTATGCAAATCTTACTGCAAACAACTTGCTATTTGTACACTAAAATTAATAAATAAGTTAATACCTAGGAATAGATCTCACAAGGAACGTAAGGAACCTCTTCAAGGAAAACTACAATCCACTGCTCAACGAAATAAGAGAGAACACAAACAGATGGAGAAACATTCCATGTTTATGGTTAGAAAGAATTAATATCATGAAAATGGCTATACTGCCCAAAGTAATTTACAGAATCAACACTATCCCCATCAAGCTACCATTGACATTCTTCACAGAACTGGAAAAAAACACCATAAACTTCATATGGAACCAAAAGAGAGCCCACATAGCCAAGTCAATTCTAAGCAAAAAGAACACAGCAGGGGGCATCACACTACTGGATTTCAAACTATACTACAAGGCTACAGTAATCAAAACAGCATGGTACTGGTACCAAAACAGAGATATAGACCAATGGAACAGAACAGAGGCATCAGAGGCAATACAACATATCTACAACCATACAATCTTTGATAAAACTGACAAAAACAAGCAATGGGGAAAGAATTCCCTGTTCAATAAATGGTGGGAAAACTGGCTAGCCATGTGCAGAAAGCAGAAACTGGACCCCTTCCTGACACCTTACACTAAAATTAACTCCAGATAGATTAAACACTTAAACATAAGACCTGGCACCATAAAAACCCTACAAGAAAATCTAGGCAAAACCATCCAGGACATAGGAGTAGGCAAGGACTTCATGAACAAAACACCAAAAGCATTGACAACAAAAGCCAAAATAGACAAATGGGACCCAATCAAACTCCACAGCTTCTGCACAGCAAAAGAAACCGTCACTAGAGTAAATCAGCAACCAACAGAATGAGAAAACATTTTTGCAGTTTACCCATCTGACAAACGACTGATTTCCAGAATTTACAAAGAACTCAAACAGATTTACAGGAAAAAAACAAACAAGCCCATTCAAAAATGGGCAAAGGATATGAACAGACACTTTACAAAAGAAGACATATATGAGGCCAACAATCATATGAAAAAATGCTCATCATCATTGGTCATTAGAGAAATGCAAATCAAAATGACATTGAGATACCATCTCACGCCAGTTAGAATGGCAATCATTAAAAAATCTGGAGACAACAGATGCTGGAGAGGATGTGGAGAAAAAGGAACACTTTTACACTGTTGGTGGGAGTGTAAATTAGTTCAAACATTGTGGAAGACAGTGTGGCGATTCCTCAAGGCCTAAGAAATAGAAATTCCATTTGACCCAGCAATCCCATTACTGGGTATATATCCAAAGGACTATAAATCATTCTACTATAAGGACACGTGCACACGAATGTTCATTGCAGCACTGTTTACAATAGCAAAGACCTGGAACCAACCCAAATGTCCATTGATGATAGACTGGACTGGGAAAATGTGGCACATATACACCATGGAATATTATGTAGCAATCAGAAATGATGAGTTCGTGTTGTTTGTAGGGACATGGATGAATCTGGAGAACATCATTCTCAACAAACTGACACAAGAATAGAAAATAAAATACCACATATTCTCACTCATAGGGGGGTAATGAAAAATGAGAACCCATGGTCACAGGGTCTATTGGGGGGAAAAGGGGAGGACCAGCCGGGGGTGGGGGAGCTGGGGAGGGATAGCCTGGGGAGAAATGCCAAATGTGGGTGAAGGGGAGAAAGGAAGCAACACACACTTCCATGTGTGTACCTATGCAACTGTCTCGCATGTTCTGCACATGTACCCCAAAACCTAAAATGCAATAAAAAATAAAAAATAAATAAATAAAAATAAATAAGTTACAATTTGTGACAACTAAATATAGTACTTTGACAACATATTTTAAACTGCCTTATAAAATGTAGCAAGAAGTTTAATCATCAAAACAAATAAATTATTTTTGTCACCCTCTGTCCTCATCTTAAAATTGTTACTTTGAGCAAATAAATTATGCCTTTGAACTTATACTGTATAACAGTGTTCTACTGTATAAACTATGTTCTACCATATGGTCAGTTTATTTTATTTGCTTTTAATAAAAGGAGTTTTATTATGAGGCTCCCACTCAATGCTTATTTATCTATTTGAATATTCAAAATATATATATTTTTTCTTTTTAAGAAAATACCAGTCACTCTCCAATCTTCACATTCTCACATTCTCTCCCCCACTCAAACGTTTGTAAGGTAGGACAAGTTACAAACCAAAACCATAGTTTTACTTGTTCTTGACATAGAATTGAAAATACTGTATATATGTTTCTAGAATATAAAATGTACATTATACATGGACAAATACACAATTATTATAGCAACTTTTATTTTCTCTACTTTATCATGACATATAATCAAAATTATCTTTCGTTTGAAAAAATGCTGTCAGGGTTCTGAGAAGCGTGCATAAAATTGTAGCATTATATATGGTGAGATAGGTAAGAAAATATCTGAAATCTTGAATAACATTGCTCTCAGTATCAGTACTTAAAGCCCATTAGTAATTAAGAAAATCATTTTGTAATTAAATTTGCTAATGCATAATTAAAAGTGAATTTATTGGATGTCAAGATTGAGTAAGATACTTAGAGAAAACCATAGTGCCTCGGATAATGACAAAATGTCAAATCTTATATTTATTTTCATAAAAATAACTCATTTGAGTGTATTTTTAGTAACTTGTTTACCTGAATCACTGCAGGCATCTTCCATTACTCTCCAAGCATGCTTACATCCATTTGTGTCATGTAAGCATTGCTCTCTTAAATATGTGCAATTATTGCTTTGGGAAGTGTATTCATTTTCCAAGCTTAGGCCCACAGCTTGAATAACAACAACAACAACAAAAACAAGTTTGTAATGTCAGCATGGCATCCATTTTCTGCAAATCTAGGTTATTAATGATAAAAGACAGAATTATGGAAAATAACATGTAGTGAAATTATTGATTGTCAGAATAATCTTAACCTCCTCTTTAGCTGTAGGTCTATAATTGTTCTTAAGATTTTCAAATGAATAATTTAAATTTTTCATTTTACCTTCTCATCATCTCTTTATTCTTAACTTATAATTTATTTTTGTTACTATTGTTCCATTAAAACTATTCTTAAAAACTGTCTCTACCCCTTTAAAATCCAACTTAGAGGTTTTAAGACTTTATGTCACCATTGAGCATTTTGCTGACTTTTTGTTTTTGAAACTCTTCCTTGGGCAGTCCAGCCTTCTTGTTCTCTTGATATTTATCTACGTTGTATTTTCTGTTCACAGCTAAAATTCTTCCCAGATTATTTTATTCTTCTGGCAAAGCATAATTTTAGCTTGGGTTCTCTTATCGGACCTTTTCTATTTTCATTTTATATATTCTCTGCAGAAAATTCCATGTACTCTTAGGGTTTGAAGTAAAATCTTTAGTCTGATGATTCTCAAATGTGTAATTCAATCTCAGTACTTCCAGTGCTCTAGTCAGATATGTAATTGTTCTCTCTACTTGAATGTTTCAGAAACACTTTCACAGGGTCTTCATCATCCTTGTTCTGCTGTGGACCACTCTACTTCATCTACAATTCATGCCACAATTAACATAAGCCAATAGAAATCCTGGTTTTGTGGTAGACTATTTTCCATTGTCAACTTCACTCTCCCATATTCATTCTTGCTAAATTTGGTTGACTTTCACTTTGAGCATTTTTTTAACTTATTAGTTCGTCTCCAGTTTTAATCTTACTCAGAACATTATTCAGGTAAGTTATGACTCCTAACCTACCTAATGCACTATTCTAGTGCTGCCATTTTTCTGTTTATATCCTTCAAATGATTTCTCATATCAGGGCTCTCATATTCCTCACCATGCGCAATCTGGAAGGCCTCAAGCATTTATCGTTTCCCAAATGATCCATGCCACATACTTACCATCTGGTCCTGTTAAGTATTCCCTTTCTTTTTCTTCTGGAATAACCCTTTTTGTTGTTTAAATCTGAACACAATCGTTATCTATTTTCAGGAAACTTTACCTGAATTCCATACTCCCCTTTTTCCACACTCAAATTGAATTTGACATCTTTAATCCATTTTACTAGAACCGTGGGGATCCCCCAGTTACAGAAGTTACTGTTGTGCAGTGTGTATATTCATGTGCTTATCTCCACCACTGTACTGCATAGCTTTACCTGGGCAGACATTAAGGACAATGTATAACTGTATTTTCACCACCAAACACAATGATGACCTATGAGTATCCAATACATGTATACTGACTTATACTTAACTTATTAGTTGTTTATATATGAGATATATAACTGATAACATCTAAAAATAATACCTTCCAGATATTTACAAGTTATTTTTGTTAGAAAAGAAATGTTTTCAGCAAGTTTTCTAAAAGCAATCAAGAAAATAGAAATATTAATTTAATATGTCATACAAGTTAGTCAAATTGACTCTGCAAATTAAGTGACACTAGCCAAACCAATTAATAGAAAAACATATGGGGATCGCAATTGTGTCACAGAGACAGTTATAATAACTGTCATCAAGAGAGTCAAGCTATAACTAAAGCCAAACTATTTGAATTTTTAAATGCTGTTGTTAATTACGAATCACCTGTGACAATGTAGAGTGATAGACTTCAAGTAAGGCCTTAAAATCTTTTTCTTTTTAAATCTTACCTCTTTCCAAATCTCATCTTATAAGAAGAATCCAAGACAACTGATTGGACCATGTGTACTACTTGCTGGGTCACTGCATTTGGAGATTAGGCCCATGGGTGTAGCTTGGTAACATTTTTCTTGCTGAGGGCTGGAGTGGAAATGGACATATCAGCTTTCTGTTTTCTCTTGTGATCATGGACAACCTCATTTAGTCAAGCCCTTGTTTTCCTTAGTTGACAATCCCAGAAACAGAAAAAGAGGACTCTTTTGATCCTATCCCAAAGTTACTTTGCCAAATCCAGTTTTCCAAAAACGCAGAAATAGGAATTTGAAGTCATAAACTCAACTTATAAGAAAATGGTATTTTATTTGCCATTAATCATTATATCTCGTGAAAAGCTCTCTCAGGTATCTTATAAGTGATAATCTTCTGGATATATCATCAAAACTTCATCAGTACTTCAGAGTAATGATCACATAGAAATTCTACATGTTATTTTTCCCAAATATGTTTTATTTCCTTTCACATTTTTGTTTTTATAATAAGCTACTTAATTGATTATTTTATAGGTTTTTTTGCATCTTCTACTGAGACAAATTATTGAATCAGCTAAGAAAACCACCTCAATGATTTGCTCCACAAGAATTAAAAATATAACTTTACCTTTCCAAAATCTGCCTTATTCATTCCTGACTATGATTTGTGGTTTTGTATTTAACCTAGGATTTTTTTAAGACTTCTCCTGAAATGATCAATGAAAAATAACTTCTATTTTTAAATTATTAAGATGGATAGTGCTGCAAATTTTATTACTATTTTAAAGAAGTATAGGGTTCATTGTCCTATTAAATACTCTCAGTTTTTAAAGTTCATCGTTTTCCACATTTCTTTGCCAATAGATATTTTCCTCATTATAAGATCCATTTAGGTAACGTTGGCAAGCATTCTATAGTATAATACGGGAAATGTTGATACAACCTATAAAATAGAAAAATTTTAGTTCTAACTATGTTAAGAAATTATTTCCCTCCTTCATGAAACCTGGTGTCAAGTTAATTTAGAAATAAAAGATGAAAATAAGAAGCCATTGCCTTTTCAACTATGGTCATAATGAGGCTATAATGTATTTTGTGAGCTTCATTATATTGCTGCCTGATCTATAAAAATTAAAGTTTCCCATATTTCTCTTTACAACAAAAAAGTAAATACATATTCAAAATCTTTACAAAAATAAGAAAATACATTAAGAATAAGTACAAAAGGCAAAATTCTGAAATAATGGAAAACTATTACTTAAACCAAAGACAAACTGAAAATATAGAAGGGAGTTCTCTCCTTCTTAAGTTTCCTGACTTGATTTGACTCTCCTTTTATGTTCAACACAATTTGAAGTAAACTGCTTTGCTTTCTTGCCCACAATTATGCCTTTATTCAGCATGTATATGCCAGTAAACATAAAATGGTATATGTTTAAAATTACTATCCAGCTAAGACTACAATTATTTCTTTTCTGAATTCAGTTTATAGATTCTACCAAATACTAAAGAAGATATAAAATATTCTCCAGTCACACATCTAGCAAATAGATTTTCATGGATTCAGCATTAAATAAAGATAAGTTATTTTTCATCAACGTCTTATAATACATTCATAGGATCCAATAAAAGAGAAATAAGTTCACGCTTCAGCTCTAGTTTATAAAAATTAATCAAAATATGAAGCACTTTGATATAATGTTTTACTTCACTAAATGACTGTTAGCAAATATTAACACTGTACGAAATTGAATGGTTTAAATTCGTCTTATTTTTGTTTAATTTCAAAGCAAATAAATAATATAGATAACAGAAATTTTTCATCTTATAACTTGTAAACAGATACTGGAAGGTTTTATTTCTAAAAGGTTCTAACACGTGTGAATTCCATTAATCCTAATAAATGGCTCAAAATTATTGGGTCACTTTATACACAGAAACAGTCTGAGAGATTAATGAAATTTTCATTCTGCATTATCTATAGAGTTAGAAATAAGTAAAAGTGAGTGTACATTTTTGCAAGAGGTATGAATCATGTTAAAGTATAAATCTGTAATGTACTTTATATTATAAACTTCTGTTAAGTTTAAGCGTGATGGTGTTCAGTTTACAAATAATTAGTATTATTAGTAATTCAGATAAACCAGAAAGAAGCACCATTCACTTACCCAACAAAATGAGCACTATCATCCTGGACCACTCACGGCTGTTCACCTGGAAAAAAAAAGGCAGATGTGTTTCTTCTGACAACTTTCTTAACAGTAACTGTCCAGAATAAGGCAACAGCATCTGTGTTTGCTTCCTAAAACCGTTACCAATTCAAGTCAGCTTCCTACGTCATCATTTCTTCACCAATGTTTCCTAAGCTGTGAACTATTCTAATTATATTCAAATTCAATTATTCTCCTGAGTGTGCTGGTCTTGGCTATTAGGATATTATGAGCTAAGAAAGCCCATGAGCTAAATACTAAAAGAAATGATACATAATCTGCACATTCATAAAAAAGATTTTAACTAAAATACTACACTACTTAAAAGCCTCTCAAATATGACTCAAAATTTTCAAAGACACAAGCATACTCAGTTTCCACATTTTTAATTAGCCTCATGAAGGCAATTTTATGTCATTTGAGGGTATGGAAAAGCAGAAAGGCATAATAGCCCCGGAAAATGTATGCAAAATTCAAGTTCTACTAGAATTAGCCTGATATACATCATACATACTAGGAAGCTACTTCCCAAACAAGGAATGTTGTATAAGATGTGCCACAAACCCCAGTATGCTTAAAAATTAGGCCACTTCAGCTATAGTATCTCATATCCTCCAATTACAGCTACAGTGTAAAAAAAAAATACTCTTTCCAGTGATGCAGAAATTCTGTGTTCCACTGGAAGGATAATCATCCATATTGGTGTTCATCACTTGACAACTATTTCTTTTCCTAGTTTCAAGAGGGACTTATTTATCTAATGTCTTAGTTTGGCTATGCCCTTCCTCAAGTAAACTTACAGCACATTACCTTCCCTGGGGTGTCATGAGACTTCTATTTTTAAATCATCTGGAGACCTTTCTATATGCATAAAAGATATAAAATACTACTTCAGCAAGAAAGTAAGAAGACATAGGGATGAGAGAGAGGTATTAGTGCAGTTACATAATTGAGTTTTTGATTG